GTGAGGGGAAGAGTGGTCGTGCTCGTGTGTTCACTCATAACTAACCCATCCACAAGTCCTGATCATCATTCTGGAATCTCGTGTGGTCGTGCGGCCATTTTATCACCGGACTGAGATTAGGCGGGACGGCCTCCAAAAGGACAAAGGAGGGGATACATCTGATTTATCGAATACACCGGTTAATGCTTTTGCAGCAACGTCAGGACATCATGGTTTTCACTACGGGTACGTACGCAAGCACAGACCCTTGGAGAGGAACCATGGCAAGAATGTGATTGCAAAGGTTCAAGTGGAGGATTTAGACAGGCAAGCCCTAGTCTCAACACATAGGCTGTTTCCAAATTGTGGCTAGGGAAATTACGAGACTGAATATTGTCTAAACAATTTGAATTAGCTGTACAGTGGTTCTTGGCTCTTTGACTTAGGTGGGCTTTCCTCGCTGAAGTAAAGTTCCAAAATCCTTCCCTACTATCAGCTCTATTTGCCGAGGACCATAACTACCGAAGTAATCCGACACACATGTTCACGGTCCTCGTTGGCTTCACTAATCATTAGGCTGTTGGGCAGTTTAGTTGTTTAGGGCTAGATGAATGATTGTACTGACCAAGCAAAATGTTTCCTTCCACAGGAGTTCGACAGCGGTGAATACTACTGTAGCTATATCACTACACAGAGACAACAGTTTCACAGGGAAGTGACCAGCATTTTGTTCCGTGGAAAGCAGAAGAAGGCCATTTTCGGTCAAAGATATCCGTTGAAAAAGTCGCTTTGGTTTGGCGTGGATGTCTCAGCAGATGTTGGAGAAGTAATTCATTCCCGCTGCATTGTTTGGACTACGAACCCGGAGAACAGGGTGCTGATGCGATTCGGCTTCAGTTCAGGTCAGCAGAGCATACTTCCCAACCAAACCATACGGTCGTTTGCGGAGCAGCGGACAATTGTAACCCATATGGCTGAGCAGTACTACACGGTCGCATTTGGTGACCAGGCACTAGCGCGTCAATGCCATGCGGCAGATCAATACATGAACCAGAGCAAACGCCTTTCGGTACCATCAGTCACATGTGTTGTACCTGATCTATACTGGGAACCTTCCGGTCTGTCCAATTACGAACGCACAATGAACCTAACATGTCGAACTACTTCAGGATGTGCAAGTGCCGTGTTCCGCTGGAACTGGGTCGCGGGTCCAATCCCACAACTGCCGTCGGCGGTAACTCAAGGTGACCGCCTTGGTATGATCAAAGGCCCTACTTTATACTTGGCTTCACTCGGTCGTTCCGGTGCCTATGTGTTTCGCTGCACAGTGACCTGCGCATGCGTCTCCACTACGCAAAGCAATTCAATACTGGTGTCATTTTTCATGCACGTCCGTGAAGTTGATCGCCTCAGTCCCGCAGAAGATGTGTCACCCGATTTAATGGACACAAAATCGAGTGAAGATGACTTGGCACGCAGCTTGGAGCAGGAATATTGGGAGAAATATGGCAAAGAGGATGTTGCAGACTATGGTGTCCACAAAGCAGAACAACCCCAAATTCGTCGTGATGAGGCCGGATCTGATGAATTAACCAGACCAGCTGGTCCAGCTGAAGCAGGGTTCCTACCCCCATCGCTGATTCCCAATGAACTACAGCAAATGAAGCCGTCTCATGTGACTGACGAACTTGATGTACTGAGATCCAGAACGTCAGATTACGCTGAGCTACGCGACCAACTGTTCCCAGATATCCTGAGAAGATTCACGGAATCCGATTTTTATGGCGATTCGACACCTCCGCTGGTATCTAGGTTGGTCGGAGATCGTCCAGATGCCCAACAAGAAAGGGGAAAATATCGTGAAGCAGCGAGGAGACGAGCTTATCAACAAGTGCCAGAACTACACCAGTACCAGCAAACTTATCCGATCACCAGCCCTGGTGCATTCGACACACCAACACGTAGTATCTACGAACCAGAAATATCGAAAGCCAAAGATGGATTCGAACTGAGGCGACAAGATTATTCTTACGTGGCAAAACCGTATGGGGATGCACTGAGTGATGGTCTAGACATACATCCCAGCATTCAACATCCAGCGGAAAGAGACAAAACAATCATTGGACGTATAGATGAACTCCCGATAGATAGGCGGTCCCCGCTCGGGTCCTTTGAATTCATTGGGGATACAGAAATAGGATTGTTGGATCT